TTCCCAGAAGGTTCCTCCATCGGGCCGGAGAAGGAACGGGAAGAGCAGCCGTCGCCGGCCCCGGGGCTGCGGACTAGCGGATTCCTGTGGGCCCCGGCCCCGCCAGCACCCCGGGAAGGAAAGGGGCGCCCGGGGCACCCGCAGCGCGCGACTGGCCAGCTCCCGCGCGCCGTCAACCCGGCCAATGGAGTCCCGCCCTGGGTCGCGCACGCGCAGCCGGGACTGCTGAGCGCCGGGCGGGGCCGTCTCGCGGGGGCGGAGCTGGGGACGAGACCCGAGGCAGCCTGGGAGCGGAAGTGCAGCGCTCGCCGGAAGTTCTGGCATCCCCGGCATCCCGGCATCCCCGGCCGACTGAGCGGCGGACAGGCTTTGGCTGGAGCCCGAGCTGCTTGGAGGAGTTGGTGGCCATGGAGTTGGGCGAGCTGCTCTACAACAAGTCCGAGTACATCGAGACGGTGCGCGGTGTCCGCACATCGGCGCGTCCCTCTCCCGGCCGGGGTCCCATTGGGGCCGGTGCCCCCCTCTTGTCCCTGCCCCACCCCGGTCCCTGTGGCGTGTATGGGCGTGTATAGGTCTGGCCTTATTTATTCCGTAAATGGCCAGTTTAGGCTTTTTCATTGAATCCCGATTTCCTCGTAGAGACAAAATGCTTTATAGAAAGCAGGGCAGGTCTCGTCCATCCTGATATTAATTACAGCTCCAGACTTCGGGCTTTTAAAAACGAACCTGTCGTAATTGATTACTATGTGCTAAAGACTCTTAAGCCCTTTATAGTCAATATATGATGTGTGTAAGTGGCTCAATCAATGTTACTACTGTTATTTTGTTTTTCATTGAATCTCCCAACTCTATGATACTGGTGAAGTCATTACCCTAGGGGTAGGGCTTTAAAATTGGGAGATAGAATTGGGGCTTGAATCCACGTCTCTGGTGCCACTAGGCCAGTGGTTCTCAACCTTCCTAATGCCGCGGCCCTTTAATACAGTTCCTCATGTTGTGGTGACCCCCAACCATAAAATTGTTTTCGTTGCTACTTCATAACTAATGTTGCTACTGTTATGAATCGTCATGTAAATATCTGATATGCAGGATGTATTTTCATTGTTACAAATTGAACATAATTAAAGCATAGTGATTAATCACAAAAATAATATGTAATTATATATGTGTTTTCCCACGGTCTTAGGCTACCCCTGTGAAAGTGTCCTTCGACCCCCAGGTTGAGAACCGCTGCACTAGGCTATAGACGGACCTCCCACATCGAAATTCTGCATCTGTTCTTTGAATCCCTCGTTTCCTAGTCCACCCTTGCTTCATTGAAATTCTGGACTCATTCCTTATAGAATTTCAAGTCTTTCTCTCCAGTACGAAGTTCCAACCTCTAGCTCAAAACCCGAGCAGCTTGCCCCTCCTCATTCCCTGCTGTTTCCTTTCAGGCCTCTGGGAACAAAGTTAGTCGCCAGTCAGTGTTGTGTGGAAGTCAGAACATCGTTCTCAATGGCAAGGTAAGGGACAAAGCCACCCCCTGGATGCATATCTTTGCTTCCTTTTCACAAATTATTACGTCAGCAGGGCAGATAAAATGTTGCCACATTTCCCATTTATTGCTATATATTTAAAAATTCTCTCTTTTAATTCTCCAGATTGGATTTATTAAATACAAAAGAGGTTCAATAAAGGGAGGCAACAGAAAGCCTTTTAATGATACAATGGCACCCACAACTAAAATTATTACCCAAGATTGAAATACTGGACACAAAACATAAATATGTAACAAAATGTTTTAGTGCAGAAATTAAAGTAATACTAATATATTTGTCTGTTTGATAATAATTATTGATTCAGTCTTAACTGAAACACTTAGAATTAATGTGAGAATTTGGGAAAATAGTACAATTTGAGACCAGTTTGTAAATGGATTATGAAAGGCTCAAAATCTTAAGTCTGAATAAATCAAAATGGCAGAGAGATAAATATAAACTTGAAGATAGCCCTAGCCAGTTTGGCTCAGTGGAAGGGCCCTGGGTTTGATCTGGTCAAGGGCACGTACCTTGGTTACAGGTTCCTCCCTGACTGGGGCCCTGTCTTTCCCTCTGTTTTCTACTCCCTCGAAAAATTAATGGAAAAATATCTTTGGGGGAGCATTAAAATTTTTTTAAAAATAAACTTGAAGATAATATTAGAACATTTAAGAACCATAGAAAATATCAAGATATATTTGAGATTAATAAACATTGAAGTCTGTGTCCTGCCATCTGGAATACTAAATATTCCTTGAAATGTTACACCTCTAACCTCCAGAGGGAAAATAGTCTAACTGTAATCAAAAGATCACAAATATTTTTAGTAAAGATAAACTTTGTATGTCCATTAGTGCATCATATCCATTTGAGATTTCATGGAAAGGATATATAGTTCAGTAAATAGATATAATTAGTAATTATAGACACACTGGTTAGCACAGAAATAGGAAATTCCATTAACTTCATCTGACTCATTTGGAAATCCTTCAGCTAATTATTAAACGTTTTCTGTGCTCAGCCCCTGTAGCTCAGTGATTGAACATAGACTTATGAACCGGGAAGTCATGGTTCCATTCCCAGTCAGGGCACGTGCCTGGGTTTCGGGCACAATCCCCAGTAGCTGTTCTCAGTTTTTTTGGTTATATACCTAGGAATCGGATTGCTGGGTCATGTGGTAATTCTTTTTTTTAAAGATAAACTATTATTTATTTACTTATTTGAGAGGAAGGGAGTAGGATAGAGAGATAGAAACATCGATGAAAGAGGAACATCATTGATCGGCTGCCTTCTGTACACACCTCTACTGGAGATTGAGCCCACAACCTGGGCATGTGCCCTGACCAGAATCAAACTGGTGACCTCACCCTAGCTGGTTTGGCTCAGTGGATAGAGCATTGGCCTGTGGACTGAAGGGTCCTGGGTTTGATTCCAGTCAAGGGCACATGCCCGAGTTGCAGGCTCGATCCCCAGTAGGGGGGGTGCAGGAGGCAGCCGATCAGTGATTCTCTCATCATTGATGTTTATATCTCTCTCTCCCTCTCCCTTCCTCTCTGAAATCAATAAAAATATATTTAAAACAAAAACTGGTGACCTCTTGGTTCTTGGGTTGACGCTCAACCTCTGAGCCACACTGGCTGGGCCATGTGGTAATTCTGTGTTTAGTTTTGTGACTTTGTAACTATTTTCCAAAAGGGCTGACCCATTTTATGTTTCCACCACAGTGCAATAGAGTACCAGTTTCTTCACATCTTCACTAAACTCTTGAAATTTTTCGTTATTTGGATGTGGGTATGAATGGTATCTCATTGTAGTTCTTGATTTGCATTTCCCTAATAACTAATGATGATGAACCTCTTTTAATGTGCTTATTGGCCATTTGTATATCTTCTTTGGGAAATATCTATTCAATACTTTGCCCATTTAAAAATTGTGTTGTCTTTTTGTTGTTGGGTTATAGGAGTTCTTTATATATTCTGCATATTAAGTCTTTATCAGATATATGATTGTAAATAAATCCTACTTTTCTGAGATTATCTTTTCACTTTCTTTTTTGCAGTTTATTGATTTTTAGAGAGAGAGGAAGGAAAAGGGAGAGAGAAATATTGATGTGAGAGTGCAGTATTGATCACTGCTTATTGGAGATTGAACCAAAACCTGGGCAAGTGCCCTTGACTGGGAATTGAACCAGCAACCTCCTGGTGCACAGGACGATGCCCAACCAACTGAGCCACACTGGCCAGGGCTCTTTTCACTTTCTTGATGTTGTTCTTTGATGCACAAAAGTTTTTAATTATGATGAAGTCCAGTTTATCTATTTTTTTCTTTTGTTGCTCAAGGTTTTGTTATCATATCTAAGAATCCCATACCCAAGATCACAAGATTTACTCTTATATTTTTTTCTAATAGTTTTTTGGTTTTAGCACTTGTGTTTAGGTTGTTGATGCATTTTTTGTTTGTTTGGTTGGTTTTTAATTCTCACCCTAGAATATTTCTTCCATTAATTTTTAAAGAGAGTGGAAGGGATGGGGAGAGACAGAGAGACATTGATGTGAGAGAGACACATCTATTGGTTGCCTCCCCCTTGCTCCTACTGGGGCTGGGGATGAAGCCTGCAACCGAGGTACGTGCCCTTCACAAGAACTGAACCTGGGACATTTCCATCCAAGGGACAACACTGTAATCACTGAGAAAAATGAGCTAGGGCTCATTGATGCATTTTAAATTAATTTTTTTAAATATATTTTATTGATTTTTTACAGAGAAGAAGGGAGAGAGATAGTTAGAAACATCGATGAGAGAGAGAAACATCGATCAGCTGCCTCCTGCACATCTCCCACTGGGGATGTGCCCGCAACCCAGGTACATGCCCCCGACCGGAATCGAACCTGGGACCTTGCAGTCCGTAGTCCGACGCTCTATCCACTGAGCCAAACCGGTCTCGGCTTAAATTAATTTTTGATATAGGGGGTCCTAATTCATTCCTTTGGAATGTGTAAATCCAGTTGTCTGAGTGCCATTTTGGTCTTGGCATCATGTTAGAAAATCAGTTGGCCATAGATGCATGGTTTCTTTGTTGACTCTCAGTTTTGCTCCATTGGTTGATATGTCTGTTCTATGTCCATACCATACTGTTTTGGTTGTTGTGGCTTTGCAGTAATTTTGTAATCAGAAAGTATGAGTCCTCCAACTTCTTCCTTTTTCAAGATTGTTTTGGTTGTTTGGCTCATCTGTTTCTTTTTAAAAAGCTGTTTTATTTGGCACACACAGAGAGTAATATGTAATATGTTATAAAAGTATAAAAATTAAGTCGATACCAGGAACCCACCATCCATATGCAGAACTGTAACATGTAATGCGGTGCTACCTTTGTCTTCCTCTCCCATTCCTTATTTCTGCCTCCTTCCAAGAGGAAATTACTATCCTGAACTTAGTCTTACAGAAATTCTTTATTTTATTTATTTGTTTATTTTTTAAATATGTTTTTAATGATTTTACAGAGAGAGGAAAGGAGAGGGAGAGGGAGAGAGAAATAGAAACATCGACGAGAGAGAAACATCAATCAGCTGCCTCCTGTATGCTCCCCACCGGAGATCGAGCCGTAACTTGGGCATGTACCCTGACGGGGAATTGAATCAGCAACCCCTTAATGCATAGTTCAGTGCTCAACCACTGAGTCACACCAGCCGGGCTAAATTCTTTATTTAAAAAAAATGTTTTACCACCAACATATGTATCCCTAAGTAATACAGGGTGTCCCAAAAAATGTATACACATTTTGAATAATTATAAAGGCAGTATTTATTAAAATACATTTTATTTATTTATTTTAATTAAATCTTTATTGTTCAGATTATTACATTTGTTCCTCTTTTTTCCCCCCATAACTCCCCTCCTCCCAGTTCCCTCCCCACCATCCGCCCTCACTCCCCACCCACTGTCCTCATCCATAGGTGCAAGTTTTTTGTCCAGTCTCTTCCCGCATCTCCCACACCCCTTGTCCCCCCCCAAGAATAGTCAGTCCATTCCCTTTCTATGTCCCTGATTCTATTATGATCACCAGATTATTTATTCACGTCATTTTTAGATTCACTTGTTGATAGATAAGTATTTGCTGTTCATAATTTTTATCTTTACCTTTTTCTTCTTCCTCTTCTTAAAGAATACCTTTCAGCATTTCATATAACG